GTGGGGGGGCGGGGACAGACAGGCGGGCGGGGCTGAGGGCTGATTGGCGACTCCCCTCCCCTCTGTGTGTGGCCCCCACTCAGGAACCAGCTCTCGGAACACCCTGCTGAGGCTCGTGTGTCTTCATGTCACCCTCCCTCGAATGGCCTCCCAGGTGACCCCGCGGGGACCCGAGGCAAAGGCCGCTCCTGGAGGCACCTCGGGCCTCATCCCGCAGGGACAGGGGCACCGTGGGCGGCGTGGCCTGTGGGTGGGAGAGCCTGGTCTTCCCAGAACCTCGCCCGCAGGGCTCCCTCGGGAGCAGCAGGGACAGGGGGCCCTGGGAGAAGGGACAGCAGTCGGCCTGAGGAGCTGCCTCAGTGTCCTGTGGCTGCTGCAACAAGTCACCCCAGACCGAGGGGCTTAAAACAAGGGTGTCATCTCCTAGTCCCGGGGGTCAGACCCTGGCGCCAGCCTCGCGGGCTAAGTCAGTGTATGGGCACCATCTTCAAAGTGTAGCATCTTCACGTCGCCCTCCGACCCTCGCCCCTGCCCCTTAGGGACCCTTGGCTGCTCTGGGCCCGCAGCCTCGCCGGCCCCTCGCTGTCCCCAGGACGCAGCTCGAAGCGCCTTGGCCAAGTGAGGGACAGTCCAGGCCGGGGCCAGGCGTGGACACCTCCCGGGGCCGCTATTCAGCCAATCGCAGCAGGGCGGTCAGTGAGCTGGCCGAACAGTCCACGGAAGGAGTGGGTGGCCTGGCCTGTCCCTGTGGCTGTGCCCTGTGGGGCCCACCAGGGCTGAGTGGGCAGGCAGCCTCGGACACGCCCGCTCTGAGATGGAGCGCCTTCCTGGTCCCGCCACTGGAGAGTGGGGGTGTGGACAGCGGGAAAGCCCCGCCTGCCTCTGGAATTCATTCTGCACGTTTCTCCCGAGTGAGCCCAGCACCCCCCCCCCCCCCACCCCCCCCCCCCCCGTACCCCCTCCCAGGCTGTGTCTGCAGCGCCGGGCGGAAGCGCGTTGCAGGGCCGGCCTTTGCTGCTGTGTGTGTGTGTGTGTGTGTGTGTGTTTCAGGGCGTCCTCAGCCCCCGGTCCCGCCTCGCCACACGGCCGTGCCAGGTCTGAGGTCCAGCGGCCTGTGAGTCAGTCATGCTCCCAAGGAAGCAGCTTGCGAAAGCCACGCAACCAGAATGTTCCCTGGCCCCCGAGAGCTCAGGGCGGTGGCTGGGGAAGGCTGACCCCCGACCTCACGTTCACGGGTCCTGCCTGATGGTCCCAGGCTGGGCTCAGCCGTGGGCTCTGCTCTGTCCTTGTCGCAGCCGCGCACCCCTGCTCCCCCCTATGGCCCTCCAGCTTGGCCGTCCCCCCAGCGGGGGTGCCTGCGCCAGGCTCAGCCTCGCCCAGGTTGCCAGGGGACCCGGTCCAGCTGGGAAGTGCGGAGTCGGCATGTACGGTTTCAGCAGCACTTTCTGCACCTGCACTTTGCACGAGGCCCTGGACCGGGCACTGGGGTGGGTGCGGGGGTGGGTGCTGTTCTGTTACTGATCCGGGCTGGCTCCTGCACCAGGTGTCTGCGGGGAGGCCGTGGGGGCGGTCACAGGCAGGCACTCGGCCGGGAGCTGCTGTCCACGAGGGGGAGGCTGGGCTGGGCTGGGCCGGGCCGGGCCGGGCCCACGTTCTCAGCAGCTGTGATTACAGAGCCAACGGGGCAAGTGGGGAGAACCGGGAGGCCCTACCTCACCACTCATGTGTCTTAGACTTTTTGTCTTTACTTAGCACAGTGGTTCTCAACCTTCCTCATGCCGCGACCCTTTAATACAGTGCCTCATGTTGTGGTGACCCCCAACCATAAAATTATTTTCGTTGCTACTTCGTAACTGTCATGTTGCTACTGTTACGAATCGTCATGTAAATATCTGATATGCAGGATGTATTGTCATTGTTCGCGACCCACAGGTTGAGAACCGCTGAAGAGCATTTAAGGTCCAATGACGCACTTGTCTGTGGATGGAAGGGCCAGAGCCCTTTCTCTGAGCGTGATCTGCAGGGGGGATTCTGGGTAACCTCCAGGCCATCTGCGGGTCATCTCTGGGTCACCTCGGGGTCATCTCCCGGCCCAAACCGCACTGTGATGGTCAGCGCTGGCTTCGGCTTTGGTTCCCTAAAGGGCAGGAGGAGGCCTGCAGAGCCCGGCATCCGTGGGCCGAGCCCCCAGGTGATCTCCTTCCTGTGCTGGGGCTCCAAGGCTTTCCGCCTGCTTTGCAGAGAGGCGCTTGCCAAGGGGGCCGGGGGGGTGCTGGGGACCCCCGAGATCTTCGAGGAGATGAACCAAGACGCCCCCCACCCTCTGTACCCCCACCTCGCGCATGTGCAGGGGCTCCCGCCTGCAGTCTCCCACGCGGAACCTATCGGATGTCAGGGCCTGTAGGGAGCTTGTGGGAGCCTCAGCGCTGGCTCAGCGTGTGAGGGGGTCGCAGTGCAGTTCCCTGTCAGACACGCTGGCGGGAGGACGATGCGGGGACAATGACAACGGGTTCATTGTGAATGCAAAACCGACCGAGGGCCTTCCGCAGGGCAGCGAGAGCACGCCCTGGACGTCGGCCTGGACGTGGCGGGACAGGAGGCCACCTGCCCTGGTGC